TTGCAAAACAAACGTTCTGCTGAACGCACCCATTGGCTGCGTTCAGCAGACTTAACAGTTTTGCAACCGTTTTATGATTGTCTGCTCAGATAGGACCATTCTTCTAGATCTAAAAGTATGATCCAATTAGCGCGAAGGAAACTTACAACAATTGCAAAACAAACGTTCTGCTGAACGCACCCATTGGCTGCGTTCAGCAGACTCAACAGTTTTGCAACCGTTTTATGATTGTCTGCTGAGATAGGACCATTCTTCTAGATCTAAAAGTATGATCCAATTAGCGCGAAGGAAACTTCCAATAGTTGCAAAACAAACGTTCTGCTGAACGCAGCCAATTATATATCACGAGGTGCGTTCGGGGAGACGCTATTAGCGCTATTATATCATTCTATCCTTGTTTTATGTCCGATAAACAATGGAGATAGGATGACACAATAGCGTCTTCCCGAACGCACCTACGGTGTCATGTATGTCATCACGATGGTAATCGCTTCTTTTACTTAGCAACAAAAAATTGACACTCATTATGTATAGATTTTTCCGGCGGCTGTGTCAAGCGTTCGTATCGTCGAGTTGTTCTCGCGGAAATCGACAAGTATCGACGAGTTATCGACAATTTTTGGAAATTACGTTTAATCGTCCGAATACAGGCAATCGTACGCATATAACTTTTATTTATGTGGTAAAATAAGAGATTTAAAAAAAATCACAATACTGATTTGTATAAAGGATTCGGCACTAATGGAAAAAATGGTCAAATTGATTGGAATTAAGTGTAGTATTTTGTAGATTCCCTGGTGAAATATGTTTTTTAAACAAATATGCAGTAATTTTTAATTGTATAAATTGTATAATTAAAAAAGAAACTATGTTTTCTTTACATCAATTCATTCATCTCATCTGTACATAAAAGTATTAAGATATAGTTTCGAAAAAATAAATAGTTTAATAAATAAACAGTAAATAAACATATTTTCAGTTCTATTGGATTAAAAATAGCGATTTTTAAATGTGCTACAACAAAAATTAGTCATTTTTTATGATTTTGCTTAACGAAACTTAATTTGATTAGTATATCACCAAATCTATAAAATATCCCAGTCAATTTGATGGAAGCCATTATTTTTTCAATATTATTAATGCAGAATCTTTTCAGAATTTTTTTTCCTTTTTGTGTTTTATTTGTTTATTTATTACTTTGTTGAAAGTGATTACTTCATTAATGAAATAATGAAATAGAACATTTTTACATTAAATATTTGAGATATATCTTTGATGTGTTTGCAACGTATGAATTTCTTTTCAGTGACACGGACCTTATATTCTTCGAGTATACCTTATCGGGAAAAGAATATTGAAGCTCTGTGCGAAAACGAAATGGCAATAAAAGAAGAATTTGTAATTACATATTTAGACTTACTGCAAGAATTAGAGAAGGAGAAGCCAGATATTCTGCTCATTGATGTTAGAGAACCTACAGAAATAGCCAAGGATGGCCAAATACCAAAAGCCATTAATATAAAAGGTAGAAATCTTTTATCGTGTTTATAAATTTTGGAAAGTTTACTGTTCATTTCTTAAACGTCACACAGTAATAATGTCATATAATCATCATAAGAATAATATGTAACAGTAAGTAATTATACATTTGTTTCAGTGACTGATGTTAAAGAATTCGAGAAACTTTCGGAGGAGAGTTTTAAGGATAAATACGGGATACCTAAACCAGCTAAAGACACAAAAATGATATTTAGTTGCTTCTCTGGCAAAAGAGCTGAGAATGCGGCAAAACAAATGCAGCAACAAGGATACACACAGTATGACAAAATATCTTTCAGAATTATTAGTAGGGATTTATTATACTAGAGTTCTGTATTCCGTTTTGCAGGGTATATTTATACAGGGGAAGTTTCAAGGAGTGGAATGAGAAACAAAAGCCGGAAAGACAAGCTTTTATAATCAAATATGAACAGCTATTGGAAGACCAAAAGAAGTCTGATGTTCTGATCGTCGATGTTAGAGAGCCTGAAGAGTTAGCTGAAACTGGCGAAATATCAGAAAGCATTAATATAAGATGTAGGAATCTTTCATTGTATTTCTAAATGTTGAAACTTTACTATTAATTTCTCAAACGTCATACATAATGTGGTATAATTATCTTATGAATAAGTAATTAAATACATATTTGTTTCAGCAACTGATGTTGTTAAAGAATTCAAAGAACTTTCGGAGGAGAGTTTTAAGGATAAATATGGCAAACCCAAACCGACTAAAGACACAAAGATCATATTTAGCTGTCACACTGGCAACAGATCTGAACGTGTTCAAAATCAGATGCAGGACTTGGGATACAAACAGTATGACAATATCTTTCAGAATCACTAGTAGGGATTTATAATAGAGCTCTATATTGTTTTGCAGGGTATATAATTTTGAAGGAGGTTGGAAGGAGTGGAATCGAGAAGAAAAAAAGAAAAAAGAAAACGATAGTGGAACACAAAAGGGGAATTAGAATATTTTCATTATTGCACTAATTTTCAACATTTATATATATATATATATAGCATTTTTAGGTACTCTTATTGCAAATAATAAAAGATAAAGTTTTATTTTGATGCAATATTGTTGGGTATTGTTTTTTGATTGCCGTTGACAAAACTGTTCTACGAAAAATTGAGAAAACATAATTATTCAAATATGTACACAAACTGATATTTTTATATACATCTTCCTGCACTTTATAAAAGCTTAGAATTATACAATATGTATATACACAAGAATCTATGTCAATGTTTTATAGATTATGATGAAATCTTCAATTCTTCTTCTCCTGTGCCATTTTCTTGTGATTAATCATCTCTCTAAACTGTCCCAATATAAGATTTTCCCTCTTCTGCCGTTCTTCTTTGCTAAACATTGCCAAGGCACGCTTCTCATCGGCAGAATAGATCTGATTTTCCTTTCGGATACGAACCGCTTCCATGCGACGATGCCTTTAGAAAAGATAGAAAAAGATTAAAATCAAGATTATTTAAATAAAGATAAAGAATGTTTAACAAGCAGTAAAAATATCTCGTTTTATATTTTATTTGGTACTCATCGAAAACTTCCATTAGTAACGATTGGAATAGTGAGTCGAACATAATTTTTTATATATTTGGATAATCAAAACTACTTTCAATATGACATTGAAAATCTATTGTCATTCTATGAAGCAGAAATCAAAGAAATCAAAACTATGTATTTGATATGCATTACCTGCTGCCACTCATGACGTAACCGACAGACTCGTACGCCGCAATCTCCTCTGATGTTAGCCCGATCTCACCTCTCCTGGGTATGCGTTTTCCTTCGGCGACATAAGCTGCCATTGCCGCACCCTCGCCTGGTAGCAGGGCCTTACCGAAATCCTTAGCTGAGAGAGTCACATGCGGTTTCGGGGCGGGTCCAACCATACCATCGTCTCCACTGTCATCCGAACTCGAGCCTCTCTTTGGCTTTGGCTTATCAGAAATAGTGGTTTTTTCTACCCAGACCTCCTCATCGTTGCTGTTGCTGCTATCACTATCGTCAGAGCTACTGCTGTCAGTTTCTTTCTTTGCTTTCTTTTTCTTCCTTTTCTCCTTCCTCGCTTCTCTCTTCGCCTTCTTTTCCTTCTTTTTCTCTTTCCTTGCCTTTTTCTCCTTCTTCAGTTTCTTGCTCTCTCTCTTCTAAGTATTTAATATTATTATTAATATTTCTTTTCACATTTTTTGACTACTGCTAAAAATTTTCGGCTAAATAAGTAATTTTATTGTATTGCTTAGATAAAGAATCTTTACAAATAAAGATTTAGCATGCAAGTACTTAATATATTCCAGCATTAAAAATATTGTGTTCTTAACTTGTAACAAGAATTTTATTAACTTATGAACTAGAAAATAGACTGTCAAAAATTATCGGAAAATTATATGTTGGCTAAAAAGTTTTGGCAGCTATTGTATTTAATTGAATATCATTATTTGATTAAATGTTAATCGTAATTAATCCAATACCTTCTTTTTAGCATCTTGCCTCTTCCTCTTGCGATCCTTTGGCAAAATATTGTCCTTATGTTTGTTCAAATCTTCGTCCTTCTCGTCTGAACTACTGCAAATAAAACAACAAACTTTAACACTATGTCACAGATGTATTCCTTTAATATAAACTGCTAGTATAATTTATTCAAATTCTTAGAGTTCAATTTGGTAAGTTAATACATTAATTTTACGTTACTCGCGTGATTTTTTTAACTTAATTACTCTTGCAATATATTTCTGACACAACATTATATCTCAGCCTTCATTGTTCTCTTTGATTTACAGATAAATAAAGATTCATTATATTCTGTATATATTATTTTAATAAAAATAAATATATTTCTTTTAAATTGTGAAAAATTTACAATATTCATACATTTGAATTAATAAGTTAGAGTATCCTGGACATCCTACAATAATTCACAATTAAATAAATATAAAAGATTTATCATATTCTCTACATTCTTTAAATAAAGATAAATTCAATTTTTTTTTAAATTGTGTAAAATATTGGGATGAATTCAATTTTTTTAAATTGTGAAATATTGAGGTATCCTGGACATTTGTTATATTCTGTACATCCTTTAGATTAAGATAAATACAATTTTTTTTAAATTGGAAAATAGTTTACACTAAATATATTGTGTATAAATAGCATTCATACATTTAGCGAATTTATAAGGCTGAGATACCCTGGACATTCCACGCGAGTAACGAATTAATAACAATGAAACAGAACCAATCCTAACCTCAAAGGATACAAATTAGAAATTACATCGTTCTTAGAGTTAATTCTTTCTCGTCGAATGCTGTCGTAGGATCGACGACCTGAACGAATACAGCAACGATCAAACCACTAATACGTCGTGGAAGTTCTATACGTTCTATTTAACGAAGGTGTCTACCGTGTCTACGTACTATTCGATTTGCGTCGGGGATCTGCTCCAAGCCTCAGGAACTCCGCGTAATCCTATCAGTTCTCTCTCGCGCCTTCGCGCGTCCATCATCTTCTCATTCATCATCTCTTTGCGTTTCTTCCTCTCCTTCTTTTACGAAAATTAATTTATTTACAAGGACTGCTGCCGTTAAAAGGCAGCAGAAAGTCTTTTTCTTTCAACTTCACGCAGAATTAAGCGATAAAATTATACATCACGTATCCATTTGTTCTTCTCCTTCTTTTTTCAGTTTTTCCTTTTCTTTTTTTACAGATACTCGATTTGATAGATAAAAATTGGAACCGACGACACCCCTTTGCTTTTTTATCTGTCCTATTAGCGACGCGTCTATTAACAATGAAGGTTAGGGTTAGGGTAAGGTTAGGTTCACTCCTGCATATATAATAACATGAAGTTGCAGAGAATCGCGCCGTTTCTCTTTTTTCTTTTTCTTATTCTTTTCGAGTAGAAATTAAGTACTTTTTCTCTATTTTTTTTTGTAAACTATGTTTTACAAGTTGATCCTTTTTCTTTTCATTCATTTGAATATTCACGACCCACCCAATACAAAAAAATTGTTCACATGATTTGTTTGGAATATTTCAGAAATATTTCGTGAATATTTGTAAAACATTTAAAATATTGCATTAAGATATTTTAGAAATGCTATGTATAAATATTATAAAAAAAAGAATATGTATATTTCAAAAATTTCCTATAACAGTATAGAATTTGCAACAATATCGCTGCAAAATCTCTGCAATATTGCTGCAACTATTGTATTTGTGCTGTAGGGGTTTTGATATTTCTCGGATATACTTATATTTTGAAGGATTTCTCCCATGAAAAATTTCTGAAATATTTCAAATCTTACAATTTAAATATTTCATTATGCAATCCTTGATGAAAATTTTTCTCAAAATTTTTCATATAATCTTTCAGAATTTCTATATAATTTTATAACTTCCTCACATTTTTTATACAAATTGGAACACTTCCCAGAAAATCCACATCTTTTTTTCAGAATTTTTCATATATATATTAATTATGAAATATCGTAAGATTTCTGAGATTTTTTTGTAAATATAATTTCTGATGAAATGTTATAAAATCTAAAAAATATATAAATATTTTTTAAAAATTATGAGATGAGAAATTTCAGAATATTTCAGAATTCACATGAAAAATTCTGAGAGAAAATATAAACTTTTTGAATATTTCTGAGTATTTCTGAAAAAATATTCCAATTCGTATAAAAATTCTGAGAAAAATTTTCACCAGGGATACATAACTTCAAAAGAATTTTTGAAAAATCGCTAAATCGAGGAATGATTATATATATCGAAAGATTCCGATATATTTTATGAAGGCATTCGCTTCGAGCTTTACTTGAAACTGAAGTAGAAAGGTAAATGGTATACAAGTACGATGGTGTTTCCTACAAGACAAGAGCTGCCGCTTTTATTGAAATTGGTGTGTATACACGAGGGGCACAGTGCGTTTACGTGGTTTCGCATAATATCGCAGCACACTGCGATTTTCAAATAACGAGCGAGTTTGAGCGCGCCTTTATTACGCTTCGAGGCGCTTTCGCTAATGATCTCTATACTGGTCCGGTGCATATAATTCTCTTTCTCGCCTCCACTTTTTCTTTCTCTCTATCTCTTTTCTTTCTATCGTCTACCTTAATTATATATGCATATATACATTTGCGTAAAGTCCGTATCCTAGCGAATTCGGCAGGCATGTGGTGACAGGAAGTCAGCCTTGGTGAAAAAATTCTCATATCTCATATTTTTAAGAATTTTTCATATTTTGAATTTATGAAAATTAAAAAAATATCTTAAATTTCTTCAGACTTTGTATTTCTTCGGAAATTATATAAAATATCTCAAAAAGGGAAATTTTTTAAAAAGTTATAAAATTATTTAGAATTTGCGAGAAATTCTGAAATTTATATAGAAATTTTGAAAAATTATATACAGAATTATCAAAAAATCTTTCATCATTCTTTGTAGCTGAGCTGTTATATTTTCTTTACTTAAAATAAAATAGATATATAATTAAATGATATAAAAACAAAAATTTTTTAATTTTTTAAGATTAAAAAATTTTAGGATGTGTTTCCACGCAAACTTTTGACCTAGATACAATTTGAAGAGATAAAATTCTTTTTCAGCATTTCTGAGAAGTGTTCCAACTCATATAAAAGATCCGAGAAATTTTTTAAAAAGTTATAAAATTATATAGAATTTGTGAAAAATCCCGAAATTTATGTAGAAGTTCTGAAAAATTATATAAAGAATTCTCAGAAAATTTTTCACCAGGTTCTTTGTAGCTGAACTATAATTATATTTTCTTCTTCACACACTTAAAATACACAATATTTTCTTCTTTACTTAAAATAGAATAGATATATAATTAAATATTAAGAATAGAAAGAGGAAAGATATTAGCATGTACTTCTATTCATATCAATATACATACAAACGGTTCAGCTGTAAAGAACAAACCTGAGACTATCCTTTATTGTAGCCACGCTGTTATATA